TTCAGCATTTCTATACATTACTCATTGCTCATCACAAGCGTACTCCTAATCTCTTTTATCTACTTCCCCCTATTCTCCCCCCATACCTCCCCTCTGGCAACCACTAGTTTGTTCTTGGTTTGTTTGTTTCTCAAATTTCACATGGGAGTGAAGTCATATGGTATGTCTTTTCTTATCTGACTTGTTTTACTTAGCATTATATTCTCTAGCTCCATCCACATTGTTGCAAGTGGCAAGATTCGTTCTTTATAATGGCCCTATACTAAAGTTGAAAAGATAAGAATTGTAGAGTTGAGTGTCTAGTCCAGAAATAAATGTACATATTTTTAGAAGATTTTATTTATTTATTTGGGGGGGGGCATGAGCAAGGGGGAGGGGCAGGGGCAGAGGGAGAAGCAGGCTCCGCACAGAGCAGAGAGTCCAATGAGGAAAGACCCCGGGATCATGACCCGAGCTGAAGGCAGACGCTTAACCAACTGAGCCACCCAGGTGCCCAGAAATGAATGTATATATTTTTTCTCTTTTCTAGCCTGAGAATTGCCTTGGAACTATCGAATGTGTGTCCATTTCCTCTGTGAGTGTGCACAGTGTGTAGATGTGGGATGAATTGCTACAGCCATTTTGCCACCTTGAGGGAAGCTGGCCATAAACTGAAGCAGATCCTACTGAAAGAAGAGAAGAGAGGGGAAGAAGAATGGGTCGTGAATGATATCATTGAGTTGCTGGACCAACCAACGCTGATGCCTGTCATAACAGTCCATTTACAGAGGTCCATACACCCCCTGTTGTTGAAGCTTTGTTCTGCTGTGTTTTGTGGAAGATGCAAAGAGGTGCTGCCCAAACTCCCCTTCAAGGAAGGACTTGCTGCACAACTCCAGAGATTATGGCCAGCTGGCAGCCCCCAGCTGTTAGCTTCTCTGGGGTCTGCCTCAGGGGCAGAGCGCCACCTTGCTTGAAATTGTACCCTGCCCAAGGCAGACTGCATCCAGTACAAAGGGTTGGCCATTTCAGCCTGACCCAGGATACTCTCTGATGGCCACCACTCACTCTGCAGCTCTCTCCCACGTTGGCTGAAGAGTCCTTCAACCTGAGTAGCAGGTCAACAACTTCCTCTGACCAATCCTGCTCTTGTCCATTCCTAATAAAAATCCCCATCTTTGTATCAGTCTCTACTTCTCAAAAACACAATCTCTGACAAGATTTCTGTCACGTCAGTCAAGAGTATCCAAATTGAGATGCCATGGGATAGTTTGAACTTGGTCTTAACTAGAGGAAGGGAAATGCACTCATTACCTTATTTTAAACTTTGTGGAAATTTTCAAGCATATAAAAAAGTAGAAAGAATATAATGAAACCAAATATATCCATCTCCAACATTAATATATGACCCATCTTAATTATCTGAACTTTTCCATATTATTTAAAAATAAGTCTCAGACATTACATTATTTCATCCATAAATATCACAGTGCACTGCTGTTCACTTTGGGATGCAATGCAGTGCCTTTTGCATTCTCCTCCCGACCCAGTTCCTATCTGTTGTCTCCTCTTTTCTTCCTCTTTCCACCATCACAGCTTTCAAGAGTATTTTAATAGAAGAAAAGGCAGTAGTAGTAAGAGATAAAAGGGCCCAGAAAGAATCCTAGAATCCACTCATTCTTTCACTCATCCAACAAATATTTTAGGCCTGTCATTTCCTAGAGTCTTGGGATGCATGGTTGTTACTCATATAGGTGGTTGTTCAGATAGGTGGTGTAATGATGTCTTGGTCAGATGAACTAACAAGAAAGAAAAGAAAGGGAGAGAGAGAGGGTGGGAGGGAAGGATGGAGGGAGGGAGAGGGAGGAAGGACTGGAGGATGGGAGGAAGGAAGGGCGGAAGGAAGGAAGAGGAAGGGCGAGAAGGAGGGAGGAAAAGAAAGTGTGTCATCTAGTGGTTACAGTGGGAAATATACATTGTTTTCTACTACACAGAACAAGACAAGGCTTACTCCTGTCTGGAGGAGTAATTTCCTTAAAGAGGAAATTGAGGCCCAGAGAAGTGAAGTGATTTGTCTAAGGTCCCATGGCTAGTTAACAGCAGAGATAGGCATATAACCCAAACACTGACTCTAATACCTATATAAAGATCTATGTAAATTGTGATTGTTTCAGACTCTTGTGGTTCAAATGATTTTAAATATCATTAAAACATTTTTTGCATTTATTTTTGTCAAGTTATGGTATTTTGGTGGCAAAGGGGGAAAAGTGCATTGATTGAAAGAAGGAACTAGATGGACCTATAATAATATTAACACTGAACTATTTTTCCATTAAAAGTTCTGCCTCCATGGGGCACCTGGCTGGCTCAGTCAGTAGAGCATGAGACTCTTGATCTTGGGGTTGTAAGTTTGAGCTTCATGTTGGATGTAGAGATTATTTATTTATTTATTATAAATACTTTTTAAAAAGATTTTATTTATTTATTTGACAGAGAGAGAGAGCATAAGCAGGGAGAGCAGCAGGCAGAGGGAGAGGGAGAAGCAGGTTCCCCGCTGAGCTAGGAGCCCGATGCGGGATTCGATCCCAGTACCCTGGGATCATGAGCTGAGCTGAAGGCAGACACTTAACCGACTGAGCCACCCAGGTGCGGGATGTAGAGATTATTTAAAAATAAAATCTTTAAAAAAAAAATAGTTCTGCCTCCCTCACAAGATATAAAATTCCTCAAAAGCAGATTACTTATTCATCTTTTTTTTTTTTTAAGACTTATTTATTTGAGAGAGAGAGAGAGCATTTGGTGGGGGCAGAGGGAGAGAGAGAATCTCAAGCAGATTCCACACTGTGCATGGAGCCCGAAGCAGGACTCAATCTCACAACTCTGAGATCATGACCTGAGCCGAAATCAAGAGTTGGATGCTCAACCAACTGACCCACCCAGGCTTCATCTCTGTATACCCAGTGCCTGGCATGGTGTCTCTCCTGAATGAATGAATGAATAAGTGTATGAATGGAATCAGGAGTTTGAGAGTCTAGAACTAATCAGTTCTAAATACTAGTCAGAACTAGTCATTCAGGATTCTAGTCAGAACTAGTCATTCTAGATTCTATTCAGTTTTCTACTGACTGCCACTGGCTAACTTTGTGACTTTCAGCAGATTATTTAATTCTTATGATTGATTCATTAAAAATGTCATCTTTTTTTAATGCTAGAGTTGGAAGAAACCTTAAATTTCATCTATTCCAACTACATTATTCTATGGGGTCCATAGAATTACCAGATTATTTGGAACACAGACTTAGTACCAATATTTGAATAATACCCATGCTAGCTTTGTTGTATTCCTAGAACAAAGACTGAATATTTAAGAGAAATTGCTTGCAATAGATTAGTCTATAAATAGGACTGTGTCACTTTGGGGCACCTGGGTGGCTCAGTCGGTTAAGTGTCGGCCTTCAGCTCAGGTCATGATCTCAGGGCCCTGGAATCAAGTCCCACATCGGGCATCGGACTCCCTGCTCAGCGGGGAGTCTGCTTCTCCCTCTCCCTCTCCCCCCTGCTCATGCTCTTGTTTGCTCTCTCTCTCAAATGAATAAATAAAATTCTTAAAAAAAAAAAAAAAAGATTGTGTCACCTCATTGGCAATGCAGTCTTTCTGTTTACCTTTGGTTACTGCTTGGATCAGTTACTTATTCCTGTCTAGCCAGCTAAAACAGAAGATAGAGCTCACAGGAGCTGATATTTAACCCCTCAGTTCTGGGTAAATATAAGAAGTTTCCAGGGGAGAGAGAGCTAATTATTTGAAATGAACTCAGCAGTGCCAGATCAGAACATTCAAATGATCATCAGAATCGTGTGGCATCCGCTAGGTTACATTGCCTGTCTTGGACTGGGATTTTCCTACTCCTTTTCACTTGAGAGTGAAGGTCTCGAAAGTGAATCTGCTTTTACCTTATTAACACCTTGAGGCATATTTTGGGAATGGAAGGAGGTGGTGAGCATTTTGGGACTCCATTTCTGGTCCTGGCCCTGGCACTAATTGTGTGACTTTCAGTCAGTTGCTTCTCTGGGTCCAATTTTCCTTACTTGTAACATCAAGAGGTTAACTAAATTCACTTCTAACATTCTGTGAAGTTTTTGTTGTAAGGATAAACCCTCAGCTCAACTGGTCTCCTGTTTTTTCCTAGGTTAGCGTTCTTCCTTCCGTAATTTATTATCTCTATGTTTTTGAGGGCAGAGCCTGGGTTTTATTCATCTTTCCTCCAGTATCTAGCACAATAACCAAGCAGGTAGGTGACTTCAAGTAGGGCTGAAGTTGGTTCCTACACAAAACTCTATCTTTGGAGGAGCTCACACTTCAGAGGAAGGTACCAAGTATTATTAATCACTTGATTAAAAGCTGAGGATACAACGGGTAACAAGAAAACTGGTTCCAGCTTTCCTAACCACTTACCAGTTCCAACAGGAAAGAAGAGAGTGCTTGTAATCGTTAACACTCGTTGAGCGCTTCATTGTGCCCGAGCTTTCCATGTGTTATCTCAAGAAATACACACACCAACCCTACGTTCTAGGTACTAGTGTCATCTCTGTCTCACAAAGAAACGGGCACAGAAAAGTTAAGTAACGTGCCAGGTTAACACCCTTACATGTGAGAAGCAGCGTTCGAAACTAGACAGTACCACCTCAGAGCCCGCGCTCCGGAGCACTCCACTGAGCAGAAAAATCGGAAAAATCTTGTGTTCAAGGCAAAGAGGGAGCAGAGGGAAGTGACTGCAGAAGCCTGCAGAAGCTGGCAAACCAGTCTGAAAAACAAAAAATGAACTTCGAGCGGGACTACACAGCCGTTAAGAAAAACAGGGGGGAAAGATACCCCATAAACAAGATCTGGAGCGCGCGTGGATCCCGGGGAAACCAAGGAAGACGTCGGAAGTGGCGTCACTAGCGGGGGTTGGACGCTAAGCGGGACCATCGGGCCTAGCGGAATTTCGGCCGGACGTGATGCACAGGAAGTTACACCCTGGAGGCGGTCCCTGGTTGTGGAGGGCGTCGCGATGGGTGGGGCGGAGCGTCTGTGGTCCTCCTGGAACCTTGCATCCCGGGCAGGTAACGTGCGCGCCAAACTTGGACCCGGTCAAGGGTGGAAGTTGGTGTTGGTGGCCCAGGTAGTTCGGGCAGGGAGAGAGATGGATCTCGCATTAGGCTGGAGGAAAGTCTCCTTGGCGTCAGACTCCCTGGGGAGGGAGGGGTGCGAGGAACTTTGGGAACGGGGTCGTGAGGACCGAGGTCGTCGGGGAAATACAGCTTGAGACTCAGGAATCGGTCATGGCTGGGGGTCGTGGGCTCCTGAGCTTTGGCACTCTGGGGTGAGAGGTGGAGCCTGGGCGTTGAAATGAGCCGACGTAGAGTTCATTTCTTACCTACTCCAACCCCCGCCTCTGTTCTGCTAATAGGGGACAGGTACTTCATCTCTTAATCCAAGACAGTGCCTTGCCACTATTAGGCATTCTTTAGATGTTGTTGAACGAATGAATTATGTATTATGAACGCACGAACCAGATTCTCGCTCAGCAAGGGGAACTTCTCCCGAACTTCAGGATCTCTGAGTGTAGAAGTGACTTCAACGTAGTTTGCTAACCAGTGATTTATGAGGATGCTTGGGGGGGTAGAGATTCAGAACACTGTTGTTGTTTTGTGAGATTATTGAAACTTATAAATTTGTTTTAATATTTCGATGGTGGGGTAGAGGATAAAGCGATTAATTCAGCTTCTTTCAGATACCTTTATTTTTCTCGGAAGAACTTCAGGTAATGATGGAGGAATGATAAGCTACGGTTGTAGCACTGAACTTCTAGTGTTCTAAGTACTTTCTTTTCAGCAGTATAAACTTACTTTCCATTTTCTTCATGTTTTCTTTCTTACATTGGGGTACTTCTTACATTTGAGAGGTAAATAAGAAAGATTTCATAACAAAGATGAAATTAATTTATAAAAATCCAGTCAGAGGTTTCACCTGGTGTGTTCACATAACATAAACTCCTTCCACAGACTTGTAGGAGGCCTCCAAAAGAATGAATCCCTGAAGATTAAATTGTCTTCTTCATAAAATATTTGTCTAGGTGTCTTAAATGTGATGAAGAGTGGCCATAGACCTAAAGAACAAGTGCTGTAACCGGATTGGTTTTGATTGTCAAGTGGAAAAAAGTGCAGAGGACAGACACATCAGGCTGTGTAATGGATCATTATCTGGATGCAGTGATTTTGTGTATGGGCTTTGTGCTATCTAATGTGTAGTAGCTCCTAAGAGGTTCTAGAATCTTTTTTAGACTGGATATAATGGAGTAGAAAAACCTGAATTTATGCTTTTGTTTGTTTGTTTTTACAAAGAAGAAACTAGTAAGCATTTTTAGATTTAAAAATCCTAGGGGCACCGGGCTGGCTCATTCTGTGGAGCATTCGACTCCTGATCTTGGGGGTTGTGGTTTGGAACCCCGCCTTGGGTGTAGCAATTACTTAAAAATAAAATCTTTAAAAAAGAAAAATCCAAGATGTTTTTAAAAATAGTCTGAAAAAACCCAGAAAGTAGACATGTAAGTACATTATTGTAGTCATTTAAATTTTAAAAGTTTGCCTAGCTTTAAAATTTGTTTTCCCAATCTCTGGAAAGTGTTGGTATCCAAATCATTCCCATCTTTACAAGCTCTTACTATGGTGCCACCTTTAGAATACATATAAATATGGTACAAAGCTGTGTTTCGAGATCTTCTAGATTTTAATAGTAATGTCTTACTTAAAAATACAGTATAATTTTGCTACCTCATTCTGCTGTTCAATGTCATATCCACTAATTTTGCATATCTAAATGTCTATATTCATAATAAGAACTTATAATTATTATTCATAATAATTTAGTATCTAAGTGGTAACTTAGGTATGTACATTGACATTCTTGAGGTTTTCAGTTTTGCAGAACACTGATATCTATGGACGCTAACATGGACTTCATTTAAAGAAATCCACGGACCATAAATGGACAAAAACATGAATCAGTTTATGTTGTGGCATTCAAATCCTAGCACTTTGGGAAAGGTAAGTTGTTGACTGTGTTTTATGTTAGGTGAGAAATAGAACAGCCTTGGATTGGTCTAGGAAATTTTAGGATTGTGATTGAAAAATATAGAACGAATCTTCAAATTTTGTTTTAATCTGGATCTTCCAAAGAGAAGTTTGTTGTATATATGAGGTAATTATTACTATTTCCTTGTAAAATAATCAGAAATTAAAGAGATTGGCAAGTTATATTACTCCTGGACGATTACTGCTTTGTTCTCTTTTTTTGGGAGATCTCCTTTCAACACTTTAGAGCCTGGTAGAATATATCAGCCTGTGGATACACTGTAGGAATGGGGTTTCAGATAGTCATTTAAATCATCTCACATCCAGGTTTGGCTCTGTGATAGTATATGTACCAAATCTTCTGGCCAGTTTTACTTTACATGTTAGGTTAAAGCAAGAAAAAAAGTTTAAAAAATGTCTTCTTTCTCTCTTTATCTTGCTTTATGCTATTTTCCTTTCTTTTTTTTAAAAAAATCACTTGCGGGATTCATTCTACAAGCCTTTTATCTTTCTGTCCCAGGGGTAAATTTTCTCTTTTTTTTCCCTATTTTACCTTAGGAGTTTGTTAACTTTCAAATCTTTAACTTCTAACTTTGTGGTAATATTTGGCACCTTTTAATCACTAAGCATTATACTTGTAGTTTTTCCCAGTTTCCTTTGTAGAGACACTGGCTTCTTGTTTAGAATTTACTCAATTCCAAAACCAGTTAGTACTTCTAGGAATTCATCTTTTAGATATATTTGCGCCTGCACACAAAAATTTGTATATAAAGATATCATTACCATATTATTTTAAATTAAGAAACAGACAAACTAGGAATAACCTAAACATCCCTCAACAGAGGTCTGATTTAATAAATGCCTTCATGTAATGTAGTACTTTATAACTCTTAGAAAGAATGAAGCTAATCCATAGGCAGAGGTATGGCAAAATCTGATACATTGTTAACAGAAAAACAATATAGAACTGTTTGTATAGTGTGTTTTCATTTGTGTTTTTAAAAGCATACATTTATATATATACATGCAAAATTTCTTCGGAATCTGTATGAGGAACTATAGACAGGTACTCCTGGTGAATGAGACTATAGGTCTATGGTAGGAAGATGATTCATATTTTTTCTGTGTACTCTTTCTGGCAGATTGGATTTTTAACCATGAACATGTTTTCATAATACTAGGAAACAAACAAATGACAAGGCTTTAGGTTAGTTTAAGAACTATGGAGCCTACAACTATTCCTTATGACTTTTGTCCTTATAATTATTTGCACTATTCAGAGGGAATGGGGTTGTATAAGTGACTGAAGTTTTTGCCAGAGCTGCATGGAAGGTTTGGTGACATTATAATAGGTTTTTAACCTTGACATTACATTATTATTCTTATGAACAAACTAAGTGCTTAGTGCTGCTGAATTTAATACTCATATGCAATTGTAGCATGTTACTGGCCTCCCCAGATAATATGGGTATTATCTTTGTTTGCAGGCTAGGTTTCTGTTGTATTGGCATGATCCTTCTGAGCCTCTCAGTATTACTGAATGTGATGGACTTTGTTTTATTTGAATTGCTATTGAGGGACTCTACTCTTTAAATAAGTCTTATTTATTATTTCACTTTGTTCTTGATGTTTAGAGCTGGCTTAAAGCATTTCAAAGAATGGCTTATTTTCTCTGTTAGCAAAATCAGTAAACCAGAAAGATCCTTTAGATATATATGGATAATCTCCTTTGAAGTGGCTGATTATTTGCCATGGGACTCCGCAAAAATTTCTTGTGACTTGTACTTCTCTAGCTGTCTTTGTCTTTCCACACTTTCATTGTGGGAAATTTGGAATAATAATAATAGGTGAATACAAGAATACAAGAAATTTAAAGATATAGTAATCTTCGTTCATTAGTAATGGGATTTTATTTGAAACTTGCTTGAGAATAAGCTTTGTAAGATACATACCTTTATGATACTACTGATTGTGTATCTTGTTAAAGTCAAAATCAAGGCCATTTATCTGGGGACTGAGTCATGATTAGTGGAATAGAACAGATTATGGTACGTCTGGTGGTACATAGAAAGGAGCACATGAACATAAAAGTTACATGTAGATAACATAGAATTGGGGAAGATACATGTATATGTGTGTGTGTCTATGCATGTAAATATGTATTTATAAAATGTGTATATATATATATATATATATTATTTTACACATAATATATATAAAATTTTCTGGAAAACCAAAAGTTCCGGATAAGAAGATATCCAGTTAGCACAGGAAGAAAAAAAGTCAGAATTTTAAGACCTTAGAGCTGGGCCTGTCATGGGCTAATTCATGATTATGAGAGCAGCTTAAAGAATTTTGGATGTTTTAAGATCATTCACAGGTTCAAGTGATAGGAAGGTAGATAGAAGCCTGAGAGAAAATTAAAATCTAGCAAACATGAAGATTATGGTTGAGGGTATCTTTTAAGATTTGTTTGGTGGTATTATTTTGGGGAGGAGAAGAGAAGGGAGAACTCAAAAATGTATTGCTGTTGGGCGCCTGGGTGGCTCAGTTGGTTAAGCAACTGCCTTCGGCTCAGGTCATGATCCTGGAGTCCCAGGATTGAGTCCCGTATTGGGCTCCCCGCTCGGCAAGGAGTCTACTTCTCCCTCTGACCCTCCCCCCTCTCATGTGTTCTCTCTCTCATTCTCTCTCTCTCAAATAAGTAAATAAAATCTTTAAAAAAAAAAAAAAAGAAAAGAAAAAAAAATGTATTGCTGTTCAATTTGGATTTGAGCTAGGACCATAAGTCTTTCATAGCTTTCCAGTTGTGTATGACCATGGGTGAACTAGATCCATTAACTTATAAAACATTGTTCTACAAAAACTGATTTGATCATTAGATATACCTCAAAGAATAAGAGAACTGTTTTTTTTTTTAACTTTTTAAAAAAAAGATTTATTTATTTGAGAGTGCGGGGGGAGGGGCAGAGTGAGAGGGAGAGAGAGAATCTCAAGCAGACTCTCCACTGAGCAGGGAGCCTGACACAGGGCTCGATCCCCAGACCAGCGAGATCATGACCTGAGCTGAAATCTACAAGTTGGTTGCTTAACCAACTGAGTCACTCAGGTGCCCCCGAAAGTTTTTAACCAGTTTTGTGATTATGTAAAAGGATAACTGTGATGATCTAGACTGAGGGGACTGGGACCATTTTGTTCAGAAAATAGAAGAATTTGAAAGAGTTGGAAAAACTGTAGGAAGCACAGTTGCTGTTTGTTTTTTGACGTCAAGTGAGAGAAGGTATAGAACTAGTCAGCAGGGGAGCAGGTTGTGTCCAGAGGCAGTGAACTTTGGGTCATTAGGGCTGTTTAAGCAGAGTTTGAACATCAGGAATGTTGTAGAGGGGATTTCTTATTGTATGGGAGATTGTACTAGATTATTGTAAAGGTTCCTTTCAAATCCTAAAATTTTTTAATACTGCAATGAAGTGTTTATTACAATATGAGTATACATTCTGTTATCCCTGTCTTTAAATACTGATCCCTACTTATCCACTCATCATTTATCCACCAACCTCAACTTCCATGTAACCAGGAAGTAAATTTAAAAATTACCTGAGCTCCCAAATTATAAGACATAAAACCCATATGCTTTTTCTTAGGTCCTTACTCAGTTTATTGACTTTTTTAAAAGATGGCTCTTTTTTTTTTTTTTTTAAGATTTTATTTATTTATTTGACAAAGAGAGACAGCGAGAGAGGGAACACAAGCAGGGGGGGTGGGAGAGGGAGAAGCAGGCTCCTCACTGAGCAGGGAGCCTGATGTAGGGCTCAATTCCAGGGCCCTGGGATCATGACCCCAGCAAAGGCAGACACTTAACCGACTGAGCCACCCAGGCACCCCTAAAGATAGTTCTAATAGGCTTAATTAACTGGTATCTAACTCCACAGTGTACTAGAAGCAGCAAATTGTGAGTAGGCCGAGGGCTAATGTAAGTTTAATATATATTAATGCTAATAATGGTGTTGGCATGCTTAAACAACCTTTTTTTATTATACAAGTGATCCATGTCCACTTGACAGAAATTAGAATATAGAAATATATTTTGGGGTGATGTGAATATATATATCATATAGGTAACTTTATTTCTCTTTTGGTGATAGATTTGTGATATCACCAAAGAGAAATAAAGTTACCTATAATCCCCTACCACTGTTAATATTTTAGTGGCATGCTTTATTTTTAAATTCCTTGACATTCCTGCAGGATGTTACTTCTGAGTAGTGACTGCTGAAACTGATTCTACATTACTCCTGTTTGGAAACTTAAATTAGTCACTATACTCTCTGATCAGAATATCAGAAAGTGAAATATTATGACATGGCACAATGCTGATTTGAAAACATTAGTCCTCGTCAATTTTGTTGCATTGAAACCAGTTTTATAGAGTAATGAGCATAGGTTGATACTCTAGAGCCAAAAGGCCTGAGTTTGAATCCTAACTCCACTATTTACTAGCCAGGTAAACTACCAGAATTTCTTAATTTCTATGTGCCTCAGTTTCTTCATTTGTAAATTGAGGATAATAATAATAATATCAAATTCATGGGATTCTTGTGAAGATTATGAATTAATCTGCATAAAATGCTTAGAGTAGTGCCCAGCACAAAGTATAGACTCAGTATGTATTAGTTGCTATTGTTATTATTTTTAATTTTTTTTAAGATTTATTTTTTTATTTTAGAGAGAAAGACAGTGCAAGTGGGGGAAGAGGCAGAGGGAGAGAATACCCAAGCAGACTCCCCGACGAGCGTGGAGCCCAATGTGAGACTTGATCTCACGATCCATGAAATCACAACCTGATCACGACCTAAAACAAGAGTCGGTCACCCAATGGGACGCCTGGGTGGCTCAGTCGATTAAGTATCTGCCTTTGGCTCAGGTCATGATCTCAGGGCTCTGGGATTGAGTCCTGCATTGGGCTCCCTGCTCTGCAGGGAGCCTGCTTCTCCCTCTGCCTCTGCCTCTCTCTCTGTCTGTCTCTCATGAATAAATAAATAAAATCTTTAAAAAAAAAGAAGAAGGGCGCCTGGGTGGCTCAGTCGGTTAAGCGACTGCCTTCGGCTCAGGTCATGATCCTGGAGTCCC